GAGAATTCCACCATCCTAATTCTATTTCCATACCAGATGCCCACCCGCCTTGGTATATACAGAGCTTCCAAGCCTTTTGGGGTGCTAGTTGTCAAATGGGCCCATTTCCTGGCATTCTCTCTCTCAGACAGGCCCATGGTTGCAGCTTCTCTGCTATGCTAAGTTGGTGTTCACTCTTTCATCTTTTGGCTTTTCATTAAAAAAAAAAAAAGGCTGTATAATAGCTGAAATATTCAAAAAAAATGTATCATATATACGTAAGAAATAAAGCCTAATAATACAGTTATGAGCCCCCAACCCAAACCTACTTAAGAACTCAAATGTCAGCTTAGGGTTTGAAGCTACGTGTTTGCTTCTTGCACTCTTATTCCTCTGCCTCCCCACCAGGGAGGAATGAGGAGCCTGATTTTTGTGTATCACTGTTTTGCATTTTTTTTTCTTTTAGTTTATCATACATGTATGTATCTGTAAATAAAATAATGGTCAGTTTTGTTTGTGTTTATTGTGCTGTATGTACTTACTCTGTGGCAACTTGCCTTTGTAACTTACACTCTATTTTTAAGATTCACCCGTGTTGCTGCAAGAATCTAACATTCACTCACTGTTTTTGGTTCACAATGCTATACCACGTGAACACAGACATTTGGGTTGTTCCCAAGACATATATCACTATGAGTGGTGCTGCGCGAGTTTCTCTAGTTTCCCCAAATGGAAATATAGGATCACAGAATATGAGAAGTTCCAAAGTGGGTGTATTGATTAATCCTCACCAGCAGCAGATAAGATTTCCAAGTCATCTATATCTCTCCCAACACTTGGTTTTGTCAGACATCTTAATCTTTGCCAATCTAAGTATTTGTAAGGTGATATCCCACAGTAGTCTTAGGATAGGAATAAGGTTGAATATCTTTTTATGTTTAACCACCACTCTTGACAATTTTACTGTGACATGCCTGTTTGTATTTTGTCCATTTTGTAGGAGATTTTTATATGTGCTGAATTATAATCTTTTATAGGCTTAAGTGTTGCAAATATCTTCACACTCTGGCTTGTCTGTTGACATTCTTTAGTGATACCTTTTGATAAAGGGAAAGATCTTAATTTTAACTTGGTAAAACTGATCATTTTTATTTTATTATCTTTATTTATTTTTATGATGACATTGGTTAACGAAATCTGATGTTTCAGCTGTACATTTTAACAGTAAGGCATATATATATTTACATTGTGTTAACTTCCCATACAGATCACTTTTATTTTAGATTTAACATTTTTTGTGACTTAAAAAAAATCCTTCCTTATCAAAGTTATAAAGGTATTCTCTATTGTACTCTAGAAGTTTTTCTTTAATTAATTTGAAACTGATATTTCTGCATGATCCAATTTTATTCCTTTATGACTGTCATAGCACTATGCACTGGAGTCTAACCTTTGCACAGTATTATGTAATTCCACCTCTGCCATATATCAAGTTTCTCAGGTCTGCTTCTAGCAGTTCTTCTGTCCCACTGGCCAATTCATGCTACCCTGAGACACTTGTAAAGTAAGCCTGACATTGGTAAGACAAGTGCTCACTCCTTACTCTTCAAAGTGCCCTAACAATATTAAGACATTATTCTTTGAAACATTTTAGAACGGACTTGTGATATGTCCCAAAAAACTCTTTGGAGATGCACTGAATCCTCAGATCAACAGGCAGCTTTACCACATCAAGTCTTCCTAGCCAAGAACATCCTGTCTCTATTTATTCAAGTCTTCTTTAATATCTCTTAATAAAGTTGTAAATTTTTCTCCATTAAACATTTTACACATCTTTTGTTAGTTCCCATTTATATCAAAGGTGGTTCAGTCAGGAGAACAGAAACCATGTCAGATATTTCAAACATGAAGGGATTTGATACAGGGAATTAGTGCTTTCAAAACAATTGAAAAGGCTACGGTGTGCGTACAAGTAAAGTGAGTCTCCTCGAACTGTCCATTTCACCTCTGCGGGCGTAGTCCAGCGAGCCAGGAAGCTGCCCTTGTCATCTATAGGCGAGGACACTGCAGAAAACTGCTGTCAGACCATGGTTACCTGGCAGCCCCGAGATGGCTGGCCCGTGGGGGATGTGGAAACTACCGCAGTCACCTCAACCTAAAGCCCACACACCCACACCAGTGCTAGAGGAAGAAGGATTCTTCTACCTTCCTTTCACCTTCCAAATTTCATGGGGAGGATCTCATGGGCTAAATGATATTCAGAAGGCTGCTGGCAGTGGGGTCTGAGTGTTACGGTTCCAGCCTTCCAGCCCTGCAATGCAGGGAATGGACTGAATGCCCAGACTATATATAGCACACCACCCATTTTCTGCCTTCCAAAACCAGGCTGAAATTACTGATCTAGTCTTACATCTTTCCCCACTATCTTATCCCTGTGATGTTATATCTTTTATTGTAATTTCAGAAGGCTTTTAGCAGGGCAATGAAATGATCTTGTAAGGTCACTCCAGAAGTCCAGAAGTCCATGTTCAAAAGCAACCTGACCACGCACGGCTAAGGCTTCATACAGGTTTAAACTCTCCCCACACATTGGAAGGCCAGAGCAAAGGTGATTATTAGCTAACTTCCTGTCTGCACTTCCCTCCCAAGAAAGACTTTTCTTCTTCCCTTTTTTTTTCTTGATAGGGGGAAATATTAATGAAGACCTGACCGATATCCATGATGTTTTTAAAAATTAAGTTTAAAATAAACTAGAAAGAAATATGACAAAATTTCAGCAGTTATTAATTCAGGGAAGTGAGAAATAAGTATATTATTCTTTGTATATTTTAACAACTTAAATTTCTCAGAATCCCAACTCTAAAAACAATCAGAAATCAACCTGCTTATTATACCTAGCTCATGGCATGGCACTATACCACAGGACAGGCACAGTACCAGGAGTTAA